TCACAATGGTGTGCTTTCCTCATCTGATCCATTCAGGCAAGGTCACAAAGGGCATTTGAGAGCATTTTTCTTTTGTGCTGTTAAATACAAGTTGACACTGGTGTTGCAGCTTCCATCCATGAACAGAAAACTAAATGCACCGCAACACAGACAGAAATAATTCACCTCATTAACATGTTGATTCACACATGCACAAGCATCCTTTCTAAAGACCAGCCCCTTCGGACCAGGACCCTGCGTTGTAGTACCTTTCAGTTTAACGGCAGATGTGTAAAAACATTGCATGGATTTCTGACTAAGAGTTGCACACATCCTGTATAATCACGCAGAGTTCCTGTCTCTTTCCTTACGTCTTCTGGATCCGTTTGATAGTAATGTCCGTTATAAACATACTGTACGTAAGAGACCGGGCATCTTCGAAAAGCTTGAACATGATCTGCTCTTGATACCAGCTCAAGACTCATTTAATTTCAGGTCATTGCTGAGTTCTGTTATGACGTCTCCTGTAGTATATTGTGAGTACTGTGCAATGAAAAGGAAACTTATTTATAGCATTATCTGTTTGAACATATCTTGCCTGCAAATGCTAGTCATCTTTAGAATGGACGTGGAAGTTGACTCCCCTTGTGGAGCGACGTAAATTATACGATTAGCATATTTTATGGTTTCTTCTACCAAATTCGTCTGTGACTGTATTTTTTAAAATACCAATGGTGATTTTAATATTTTTTTATAATTGTGCTCACATAAATACCCTTAAATGATATTATGTAGCCGCTGTATAATCAGAATGGTCCTACTATGCATGATTTGAAGCTGTGTAATGAAGAAAGTCAGTGTGCATTTCTGGTTCGTTTATAGAGCAAAAACACATGAAATTGGAGTTTTTGTATCAAACCCAGTCAAATCAAAAAGACCTGATTTGCAGCGTAACATGTATATAGCAGCTATTGTGTACAGGTCAGGATTCTCCGAACTATGTGCGTTGAATTCTATGCTAGATCACTAATGGTAACGTTATATAGTTTGATTCCGGAACGAGTGTCGCTCGCTGCTGTTTCTCAGGAAATCTGCCAACAGTAGCCGGTTTCTGTGCAGCATTTTCTGTAATTCCTGCAGGGGATCCGTTCAAGTTCCTCTGGATCTTATACCTTTGAATCTTTTAGTCAAAAGCCGTGGCAGTGTCGTCAGTCTTTCGATGTTGCATTGGGGCAAAGGGAAGCCCTTCAAATTTGAAATGTGCCTCCTTAAACATCCTCTAATTGTTCTGTTCTGTTAGACAGTCATTGTGGGGATGTTACCTCTGATATGACCTGCACTTTTCAAAATAAGTCACGATGGTCTTTAGTTGAGCCCAATAAACATTTTTCAGCTACTGAGATTGCCTGACATGCATGTAAAGATGGAATATATAAAAGAGGGAATAAATATTTATATCAGCTCAAATAATAGTGTCCTGTTTTCTTTGATATTAAACCTACCAGGTGTTTTGTGTGAAGACATTTAAACAACATGAGACGCTTACTTGAGTCTTTTTATGTGCCTTTTCCAAAGGGTATTTAAGTATAATGAAGTTCAACCTGTACACACAGATGCAGGAGACTTTATTAAATGATTTAATAACACATGCTGACTATGCGTTTGTGGACAGTAACATGCTAACAAAAAATGTTTAAAGAAATAGCTGTATAAATGTACTGCATTTATACAAAATCATGGCCGTTTAATGTCAGTTATGATATCTTGAATGTCACGTCACTGCTTTTCCACTGAATTGACCATTTTTCCCATGAAAAGTATGTTGTCATTCATCGGTTTGACAATAAAAATCATGAATGGAAGATCAAATCTGTAAACTGGTAGTTTTGTCCTGGATAAATCTATCCCAAAGTCTGCTCTATCTATTCCTTCCTCATCTACATCAAAAGCAGCTTGATGTTTAACCTGAAAGAAAATCACAGAGTACACTTCAAATCAAAGTGAATGTAGAATATGCTCTATGAATTTCACATTAAATTTAAAGGGATAGTTCACCCAAAAATTTAAATTCTGTCATTAATTATTCACCCTCATGTCGTTCCAAACCCATAAGACCTTGGTTCATCTTCGGAACACAAATTAAGATATTTTTGATGAAATCTGAGAGATTTCTGATCCTGCATAGATAACAATGCAACTGAAATGTAGTAAGGACATCATTAAAATAGTCTATGTGCCATCAGTGGTTCAATCGTAATTTTATGAAGCTACGAGAATACTTTCTGTGTGCAAAGAAAACAAAAATGAGTTTATTCAACAATCTCTTCTCTTCTGTGTCAGTCTTCGTCATGCGTTGTGGTACTCTCGTGAATGCGTGAAGAAGACTGACACGGAAGAGAAGAAATAGTTGAATTTCATGTATTTTTTTGTGTGAACACATATTCGTTGTCATACAAATCTGAAAGCAAGCAGTTGCGGCAAGCAAGCCACCCATCTAAAGCAGATGCAGAAAAACGTTCGCAAAAGAACCTGACTGTAAGTACATTAACATTATTGGTCTTAACTCTTAAATAAAGCCTTTCATATTTCAAGTTTTTCCTACATTTTCCCGAGAAGTCTCCGGTGTAAAGGTATAACGGAAGTACAGATACACTGCTTTGCGGGAAAGCGGAAGTTAGCAGACGTCAATGTGAAAAGGGCCTAATGGCGTTAGCGCGAGCGCCGGTTGATTGTAAAGAGGGAGCGATCAGCCAGCAGAGGATTCTGCAGCCTTCCTCAAACAGTTATGTTCAGGATTTTCTGATTTACTTAACGAATACTGTGTGAGGGGGCAAGAAACGGGCCAAGGGAGGTCACGTATGGCACACATAAATTAAGCCCAATATACGGGACGTCCCGGCTAATACGGGACGGTTGGCAACCCTAGCTTTCCCCTGCCTGTTCTGGCATCCTGGCGCACAGCAGCTGTCCACCATGTTGAAATAGTAAGGTTTGTAAGTTCTAAAAAGTGGTTTTAAATTATTGTTGTACAGCTGTCGATACCAATGCTCTAGCGCTCTCCTGATTGCCTGCCTTCAGTTTAGAGTGCGTGACGTCAACCTCCGGAGCTCTATACGCATGCGCAATGCATATTCAGGCCGTGATTTAACAAACTCAATCTGGAAAACAATGGTAAGTAAACTGATTTTGCTGAATGAAAAAATTACTGTCATAGCAGAAACGTACACTTTTGTGACGTAAATGTGCAACTTTTCTCATGATTACCTAGAAACAAAATTCATTAAATTCAGGTGCACACCAGTAGCACATGGACAGATATTCCAAGATGTCATACATTTTTGTCATTCATATGCTCATCCTAACCAAACAAGCATGTAGCAAAGATTAAATCTCACTCTCTCACTTGTCATTATTCCCCCGCATTTACCAGAAAAAGGGATAAGGTCAGTGTAGCTGGGAATGATGAGAGTCGATCATGTTTTTGTAGGCCTACAGCAGTTTGTTCCACTTGAAGAAATTGATTCATAAATTGTTTGTGAATGGGACTATGATGTACATATGTTGTCGTAGAAAATGAATTAAAAAATAAAACTTGTTTAATCTTCCGTCAAATGTGAGTGTCAGATAAGAGACACCAAAAATGTGCAGTATTGGGGGTTCTTCAGGACCAGGATTGGGTGCCACTGCTCTAGACAATAGGCCAGGACTCAAAGGATTAGACTTGCAGAATGTCTATACATTTATGAGATCTAAGCAAGTATGTTTTTGTGTGCTTACTGCCATGTTACAATAGCAATATGTTTGTTCGAACGAATGTGTTTGTATTATTTTACTTTTCACTTTCACTTCACTTATTATTTCTTTGTTTTCTATCCAGAGATAGGTAATAAAATGGACAAGCCACAGATTTTAATCTCTATGCCAACTGTGTAGGGTATGAAATTAATGCAAGACAAAGGCCAGTTTTGCCAGTATTTGAATTTTACGTAACTTTTTACAACACATCTTTCCAAATAGGCATTACATATAATAGGGTGACCATACGTGCCATTTTCCCAGGACGCGTCCTGGCCAGGATTTCTATATTGCCTAAAATATCTAGGTTT